TTATTATCTGGCCATGTCTATCTTTTATTATTGATGCTGTTATATCTTTGCTTCTATCTAAAGTCCTTTATATAAATCATAGATGAGCTTCATTTCAGTGAAAGATTCTCTCTTTTACCTTCGTAAATGTGATAGAATTCGGAGTTTCAAGCATCAAAATATCTTTCACATATGATTTTAAAGCAGCCCTTATTTAGCAGGTGTCTGTGGACACCTTTCTAAATATACCTTATTTTTTTGTTTTATTTGGTTTAGAAATGCACTTCTAAGAGTAATAAAGTAAATACTACCAAGACTATAATGATTATGAAGAATTTCGAAGACTTGCAAAAGATGCTAAGAAAAGAAAAAGTGATTCTTTTTTGTAATAATATGCTAGATACTACGGAGAAAATGAGCTTTATAAATTTGCACAAGAAAGGGATAGGAAAACCTACTTTTATGTCAATCAACAAATCATGAATGAATAAGATAAACATGGAAAGTAATTACAAAGAGATTAAACATCACAAGAAGATATTAAGAGTTGTTATGTTCGGTTAAATTGATTGCCTACAACTATAATGGACGAGAGAGGAATTGATTCACAATCAAGAAGCCTCATATGTGTTTATATAGAAAGAAGCCTCATATGTGTTTATATAGAAGACATGAAAACACTTCTCCAAACCCACCCAACTACATCCAATCAAAGGAGATAATGGCACCAGAGACGAGAGATTATAAACATAGAATATATAAATAATACGAGATCTCTTCTTGGATGCTCCTCGAAACAACACCAGCATGTTTTTCATGGCATTAATGCGCTTGCCCACTATAGCACCCTTAATACAACAACACTGCTTGCACCATTGTAGGACAATTCATCTCATTCACAAATCAATGAGCCAAATATTTTTTTAATTTCATTTCCTCTCTTATTATCTTCCACTTCATGTTAGAATTCCTTTTTTTCTCTCATCACAACATGCATTTATTTGTTTTCTTTTTTCAGCAATAGTTTATTATATTTCTTCACTTTTTTTGGTTACTCAACAACAGCCTTTAGAATTTCGCAACCAAAGGAAAACTCAGCCCATGCACCCATGCTCATTATATGTGTATGACACAATAATACCACATGCTGCATCAGATTCTCTTTCATGTATTATCTAGAATTGAAAGAGGCGTGTTTTCAATCTAATCCGAATTAAGAACATTTCAGAACAAACTTTTGAACCTGTTCTTATACAAGAATACAAGAAAAGCTTTATTTATCCCAAAACCATTAAATTAAAATTTGATGTTTATTCTAATAATATTATTGAGTTCACATCCTAACTGAGAAAAGATAACGAAATTTTAATAAGATTAGATACATTAAAAGTGGTGTTAATAAGATCTTAGTAAAGATGAAGATGTGATACAAAGATGAAGATGCTACTTTAGTTGAAGTTATCTTTTTTGAATAACTTAATAAATAAAATAATGAGGTATATTATAGCCGGATGAAAAAAGAAAAGCGGAGCTGGCTCTAAAGAAAATGCATAAATGCAAAGATTTTGGCTTAGATGAAATACTATCAAGGGTTGAAGAGTTATGGGAGATTTTGGAATAATTAAGTTAAAAAACATTTTCAATATAATTTGGAGGATTAATATGATGATAAATTATTAGAGGAAAATGATTGTCACAATATTAAAGGAAACATAGTGTTGGATGGCGTGGGGATCCCTATAGTTTGGATTTATATTTTCATATGCCCATCATTGGGATAATGATAAATGAATTTGTGGGGATCCTACATTTTATTATTTTAATGCTCCCTGCAGTTGAGATTCACATGTTTAGCATGATTGTCTCATAGGTTTCATTCTTGTACGTGAGAATTGACACCATAGGATTTGACATTAGTTGATGACTCGTTCCAATATTTATTATTTAAGATGCCTAATTATCAATCGACTTTATCATGAATTAAGACAAACAAGGAATCAATAACTAATGTAGAACTTTGGGGAAGAATTAGTGGTTAACCTTTTTGAAGATTTTAAGTGGAAGAGTGGATCTCACTACTTGGTTAACTTTTCCGAAGATTTAAATAAACCATGTGTTAATCCTTGATATTATGATTAAATAGAACAACTTTTTTATTAGAGTTTGATTCTGACTAGATTTACAAAATAGTGTATATTCAGAAAAATATATTGGGTTCTATGGAGAATTAATTTATTCCACATAAATATGAAAAGTTATGCAAATTGGGACTCATCAAAGGCTTTTGTGTAAAAATATATTTTCCTTCCCTTTGATGACTTTTGTATTATCAGTTGATCTTAAATACGTTGTTAGTATTCATTAGCATCTGTGTTGCACCGATACGGATACGGCGACACAGATACGACACGATACGGATACAGGACACGGCAATTCTAAAACATACAGGATACGGATACGGCGCGGATACGACATTATAATATATAAAGCATACATAAAAAAATAACAAATTAATCAAAGCATAATATTTGAAATGACAAAAAAAATTGAAAGCAACATCATTTGTAGCATCACTAACATTGTATCTTATAATATAAAAATAAAAGTAAGCATTAAATATTTAAATATCTAGTACAACAACAAAAACAAAAACATAAATTGTCCAGTAGATAAAGTTTTTAATTAAAAGTACAAAGGATTGACACAATTAATCCACATGAATTTGAAACATGAAATTTTGTAATAAAAAGTATAGATATGTTGCGCTTATGTCGGGGGTCCAAGGGGGCACTGCCTCCTGGCAGGGTTCGACCTTCTCGGTGCTGCTTGGTACAATTCGGTACCCCTCTGTACCGAGCAGTACCGAGTTCTGTTACCGAGTGGTACAAAGTTTCGGTACTGAGCGGTACTGAGTTCTAGTATCAATCGGTATCGAGCGGTACCAAGCAGTACCGAGCAGTATTGAGTTCTAGTATCGCTCGATACCGAGCAGTACCGACAAGTACCAAGAGGTACCGAGTAGCACTGAGTTCTAGTATCGCTCGGTATCAAGCGGTACCGAGCAATACCGAGTACTAAGCAGTACCGAGTACCAAGCGATACGCGTGTCCGATCAAATTTAAATAATATTTTAATTGGACACGGCAAAACCGTATCCGACACGTATCCGTGCCGTGTCAGAGGCGTATCCGTATCTGACACATGCCCGATATAGCATGCCTCATAAATAGGCGTATCCGTGCAACATAGATTAGCATGCTAGTAACATGGCATATTTTAGGTTTGAAAGGTTGTTATGCTTAATACTGAAAGTGGCATCGTAATTTTTGTTTGGCTAATAATCTCGCAATGCCTTGATTTGTTTTCTTAGTATTTCTTGTTTACAGATACCTGGCCTGCGGCCAATTTTCCCCGTCTTTTTAGTCTTCATCTTTTATGTCACTCGACGTGCCATGAACCACAAGACGAGTATCAGACACAGAAAAGATAAATCAATGTGGGGAGGGCTCCTACTGTTTAGTGTACGGAAAGAAAATTTAATAGGAATTTAGCATCCCTATTATGTTGCTTCCACTTTGAGATACATTTTGTGGAAATGCCATTTTATATAGATTATACTGTGTTAGAATCATGGCTTTAAAACCGGATCGGACCGGCCGGTTCGACCAGTTTAACCGCGAATCGGCCGGCCGGCCGGTTCCGGTTTGCTTCAAAACCGGTATTGCATAAAACCAGCTCGGAACCGTGTGAACCGGCGGTCGAACCGCCGAACCGTAAAACCGGTCCCGGTTTACAATAAACGGTCGGTTCATCTGCAAAAAAATTTTAAGCTTTCGCTGAAGATCTAACAGCTCAAGGAAGCTTGTACGAAACGGAAGAAATAAAAAACCATACCATTCATTCGACGGTTCACATCTTCTTCCCCGATTCTCTTGCTCATTCGCGAAGCCAAGAGATCCCTTCCAATCAGGAAGTCTTCGGCATCAGTGGCGACGATGGTTCCTCATCTCGGCCTTATAACCTTCGCCTCCGGCTTCCTTCTCACTGGCCTTTTCCTTCATCAACTCCGAGCTACACTCCTCCGCCTCCGATATATGTTCTCTTCCTCTCACTTCTTCGGGACCGAGATTCACTCACCGCAGAAGGTGAGCGCTTTTATCTCAGCAGATTTTCTCTTTCTACCTGTCGTTGCTGTATTGTTTTTTGTCATTTGGAGTCGATTTAGGTTTTTTTTTCAGCTTTTTGTTTTTGTCGGACTACTGCTATGCAAAGTTGTCTTTCCATTAGTCGAAATAAGCAGCTCTAGAAAATTTTGATTCTGCACTTTGTTAAAATATGTTGCTAAATTAATTTTAGAATAGCTTTCGTAATCCCTGGTTTAAAAACCAGTATTATTCTTTCATATTTTTATTGTTTTCATAAGATTTACCTTTCATTCTGAAGTTTGTAAATTTATACTTTGAATTTGTTCCTTTAGAAACGAAAGGCAGGGGCTAGCCAAAATAATCTAAACGCAAAGTTTTCAATCCTTAATAAGAAAACTTTTCATTATCTTTTTAAACTGCATTATTTTTATTTCTTGTTTGTTAATTCTTGCACATTTTGTTGTTTTCATGTTCTTGCAAATGGCTTTCTAGGAGGTGACAGTTCTAAGAGCGGATTGGAAAATATGCTTAAGTTAATTGAGGTTGATTGACCTAATCAAGGGAGTATTGATTAATTTGACATAAAATTGGAATGTAGAGTGGAGGTTTTAGAGAAAAAAATTTCATTCATTTTATAATTTTTAATAATATTACTATTTATTACGTAATCCGGTTCGACCCCGGTTCGACCGGTCGAACCATGAACCTCTCCTTCTTCCGGTTCGTTGTCCGGTCCGGTTTTCAAAACCTTGGTTAGAATATCTTCACGAGGGGTTGGGTGTACTTGCTTGGTGGATGAGCAAAAAGACCTTGATTTCATTCTAATTTCAATTTCTATTTCTTCATATTGTAATTGGAGTCTTTCTGTTGCATCAGGATGTAATTCATTACTTAGAAAGGTCTTTTGGAGTTGGCTACATGACAAACCAAATTGATAATGGTGCCAATCCTCAACACCAATCATCAAACCAAGGTTCTAAACTCTCCACTTCAAATGTTGGTGCACCTGATGCCTCCAGCTCGGAGACAATCGCAAGCAGCCATGTTTCTGAGAACCCCCTTACTGGAACTTTATCAGATGATTCTCTTGAGTTTGAAAACCTGTACTCAACGTTAGACAGTGGCAACCAGAGCCTGGGCCGACCTGTGACTGATATTTCGAAAACAACTGTAGATCGAGCTGTTCCTGGTAATGACCTAAAACAAAAAATACATCTTTACAAGGTACGCTTGCTGCTTCTCACTAGGAACCTAAAGGCTGCTAAACGTGAGGTTAAACTTGCAATGAATGTGGCACGAGGTAGAGATTCTTCGGCAGAATTGCTCTTGAAGTCTCAACTAGAATATGCCCGTGGTAACCATAGAAAAGCTGTGAAGCTTTTGATGACATCCATGAATAAAACAGAGCCGGTTATGCTGAGTATGTTCAACAACAATGTTGGATGCATTCATTATCAACTCAAAAGCCCCCACACATCGTCCTTATTCTTTACAAAGGCTCTGAAAAGTAGTTCATCGCTGCGGTCGGAGGAACCTCTGAAGCTGTCAACCTTCTCTAAGGACAAATCTCTTCTAATTATATATAATTGTGGTCTGCAAAACTTGGCCTGTGGAAAGCCTGTAACTGCAGCTCAGTGTTTCGGAAAAGCCAGTTTGTATTTTTACAACAAGCCAGTTTTCTGGCTCCGGTTAGCTGAGTGTTGTCTATTAGCCATGGAAAAAGGGCTTTTGAGACCATCTGCTGGGGACATAAAACTTCATGTTGCAGGATCCGGCAAATGGCGACAGCTGGTATTGGAAGAAGATGTCAGCTCAAGAAGTAGGTATTTCAAAGGAGTAGAATCCGTGTCAGGTGAAGATGAGCAAAACAAGCTATCACTCCCATTCGCTAGGCTTTGTCTTCACAGAGCCCTGTTTTTGTTGGACAAGCTTGAGAAGAAAGTATCAAGGCCCAGTGCTACAATTGATTCATTGCAGGAAGATGCTACCCAGGCCAAATCTATCAAGAGCTCAGGCCATAAGAATGCATTGACTGGAGATCCAAAGGCAGCCACTGCAGCATTGGTTTCCATGACTTCTATCACCAATGGCGATTATAAAGAAAATAAAGGTGGATTGAGCCCCAACACCACCTTGCAGAGTTCTGTGACCACTTTTGAAGAATTGTGCAAGGAAGAGAACAGCATGATTAAGCAGGCCCTTTTAGGAAATCTCGCTTACGTTGAATTGTGCTTAGAAAACCCACTTAAAGGATTATCTGCGGCAAAATCACTTCTGCAGCTGCCGGACTGTTCAAAAATTTATACCTTTCTTGGTCGTATGTATGCTGCTGAAGCACTTTGTTTCCTGAATCGACCTAAAGAGGCTGCAGAATATTTGTCAATCTATTTCAATGAGAATGGTAAGGTGGAGCTGCCTTATTGTGATGATGACAGAGAGAAGTGGAATTTAAAGAGAGGAATGGATGGTGAGGAGTTAAATGGTTCACAGAATGCTAGAACTATGTCAGATGCAACTCGCGGCGGGCTTCTTAAGCCTGAAGAGGCTTGTGCTCTTGCTTGTGTAAATCTTAGTATAATGTTCTCTCTTCAAGGCAATCTTGAGCAGGCTAGCCAGTTCATGCAGAAAGCTCTCTCACACTTGCCCAAGGATCCAAGGGTTTTGCTTGCCGGGGTTTATGTGGATCTTCTGCAACAGAAACCACGAGATGCTCTTGCCAAGTTGAAGCTTTGTAACAACATCAGGTACCTTTCAGCTTCTTCATGATGCTTCTTGCACTGCCAATCCGGTTTTCATGATTGATCTAATCTGCTGGATTTCCTTGCCCGTGTCCCTCAAGTCTTGCAAGCTAGATCTCAGGCTTTAGACCCCTCTGTACAATAGAATGGTGGAATGTAGAATAAGGATATTTGCTTTTACCCTCAATTTTTCTTTTGTTCTGAAATTTTAGCTTTGATATGAGTCATGATAGTTTAAGAAGTAGTTTATGAAGGATAGATAGTTGAGTGCATTGTAGGTCTGGTAAAAGTTCATTCATTCAGGCAAGCATATGGAAAAGCCTTTCATTGTTATTTTTTCTCTCATGAATGTTGTTTGCCAACAAGTTGGTGCATTGAAGTCACTTAAATCTGATCCCATATTTTAGGATTAAAGATCTATTACTATTAATTGTTCTCCATTATCTTGATTTCTTATGACTGCAAACTTTTCATGATTCACCATTGTTTCTGGTGCGACTTCCTTTTCCTCTAGATTGCTTCAGATATTGTATCAGAATTTTGATATTAATACTTGAATTGTAGTTGGAGCAGATTGAGGCTTCGTTTGGGACTGCTTTTTTACTGTTTCTTAAAGCAGTTTTTAAATATAAAAATTTTATTTGTTGTACTAAAAAGCTGATTTAAGAAGCAGGAAGAAAGTCGTCCCAAGCAAAGCCTGAAATTCCTCCGAATCTATCATATTTTATATAGATTTGGGTTCTTTTCGCTATGTTGTTATTGATAGTAGGATACCTTATGCTGAAACAAACTCATCAATTGTCAAGAACAATTGTATATATAATAGTCTTTTACTTTTACTCCTACCAGCAAAATATAGGAAAGAGTTTTTATTTTTTCTTTTATATTTTTTTTATTTGTTATTGTTTGCTGTAGCTACTACAGCTGCTGAACAAATATGCTAAGTGATTGTCAAATGTTTCTCTTGGAGGATCATTCCATTTAGGCTTTTCTTCACAGGATTGACGAAGGATTGGTGTCTTCTCAATAGATATGTCAACATGTAAGTGAAATAGAGATATCTTGCATTATGAATTAAGAAATTCTTATAAAATCAAATAATAACTTTTTAAGATTGTGATCATAATAATAAAGTATGAGGCTATGATGAGATAATAATGTAACTAATATATCACCTGACTATTGAAAAATTTTATAAATAGGATTAAGAGATGCAATATTTTCCTTTTATATAGTTATTTATTAAATCCTTCAACTCCATGACTTTTATTTATACAACTATCTTCTCCAAAGTTTTACCTGACATACCATTATTGATGAATTGTTTGTGCTTTGAGCATTATCAGGTTGATGAATACGTAGAAGTCATAATTTTTTGTTACTATAACAATCAATGATTTGGGAATCCCCACTTAGCTCGCCTACCCATTAACGTACCAATCATGGGCCCACCCTCAAAATTTTTTTTTTTTAATTTTAGAGGTTATATTTTGAAATATTTAGAGTATTTTGAATATTTTTCCCCCTAAAAAAAATTTTGCTCTAATTTTATCAATCCTAAATGTCTTTGTCCATCCCCCATAAAAATTTTTTTTTTTTCCATCCTGAAAAAAAAGTTGGATCTGCCCTTGATACCAATTGGAAATTACTATAATTGATATGGATGTGGAGGATATGGTATGAAGGTAGAACACAAAGATGATTATACTTATCTTATAAGGTTTGGGAGAACTAAGTCTTTTGTTGGAGGAGCCTAGACAATCTATTGGAAGGGTAGTGAGAAGATGCTGAAAATTTTGATAATAATAATGTCATGGTCATCACAACATGCCTTAATGAATTATAGTAGAATGTTAACATATGCCAAATAATACATTTTATAGGCCTAAGAGGATTAATGGAAGGTAGATTTAGAATACAACCTAAAAATTTATTTTAAATAAATTATGAATTTAAATATATATTTTTTATTTGGAGTGTCAGGGTTTCTCAAAATAGCAAGCTTCTAAAGTTAATTACATCGCATGCATACCTAAGAAAACTCGAGATTTAGAAATCCAGCTTGTGTTTAGGTTGAATATATGATATGGATTGATAGGAGATGGAGTTCCAATTTGCTAACCTAAGCGATAGACTTAATAAATGTCAAAAGGGAACATTATATGGTTAAAGTCTATTGAGTATAATAGGTTAATATGAGAGAAAAAGACTTGATATCAAGAACATCATATATGTCTTGATCATCAAAATAACATGTAATTACAACTCATTTAGATGTTGGAGAATTAATTTTATAACTAAAAGAGGTATAAATGATAGTTGGACAAGAAAAGTGAAGACAAAAGTGATTAAGACCTTATAGTTTTAACATTCTAGGTCATTAGAGCATTGGTGCATTTAATCAAAGAAGACAATTGGCCTAATTTGACTTAAAGATTCTTATTAGTAATCATAGCTTATATCATCCACAAGGACTCTTAGACTTTGGAGATGAAAAAAGAAGATGAATAACCTAACTATTTAGTTGAATAATCCCGATCAAGATCCCATGATTTTATGTTCTCAAGCCATGAAAACTCTTGCCTTCTTTACAAGTGGTAACCTTAGCATCATTATCAACAAAAACATGCTATAATTTATAAGGAGGCCTTATAGAACTAGCAAATAAAAAGACATAATCTAATCTTAGGTTAATATATGAGATTTATACTTTATAACAATAAAAGGGACCAACCCATATTGGACTCATAGTACAACTATTATTGTACATATCTTGACTAACAAAAGAATCTATACTCTAAGGCTAAATGATGAAACTAAAGGAATAATCTTCTATATAATGTTGAAGATATTAATTTTACCATATGGGATCAACTGAACTGACTAGTAGGCTTACAACTTGTCTAGGTAAGGAATACCACTTACCCTCTTAAGTGCGTTTATAAAAGTAAAGTCATCAAGGCTCAAATGATGTAGAGACAGACACATTCTTAAGCGGATATGCATATACATGACATTTGTGCCATACTTTTGTTTTAGTTGTATATGATAACTTATGAAGCCATGTCATGATGCTAATTAGTCATACATCAATACTTTAGAATGATAAGCCAAATGCTTAATCAACACATATATTACAACATATATAAGACATGTTGGTTTATTTTAAAATATAATCAAAAGAATAGTCATGTATGTATATTTTTAAGCTTAATTGATTTAAAAAGATATAGCAGAGAGTCCAATAAATTTTTATTATTGGCTTGCCTCAACTTGGTCATTATCTTGGCTATTACCTAAATGCTTTATTTGGTTATCCTTATTGACGATGGCTCTCCAATTCTCTCTATAGTTTCATTACAAGATGTTACTCCACTTATACTTGTAATAACTGCTCTCATTTTTGCCTCTTTGATTTCATATAGTGAGAAAAATATTATGTTGTCACCATTATCTAAACTCAATGAATATTTAGTAGAAACTAAAATATTTTATATTAGAGAAAGCAGCATATTATGTATGATCATTCACTTATTTATATTCTAATATAATATCATTACTTTGTAGGTTCAACTAAGACTTTATTTGGGATAGCTTAATTTTGGCCACTGGTTTTTCATTGCTTTCAAGAAATTTTTGTACTATAAAGTTGTCATAGAAACCTATCCCAAACGAAGCCTAAGAATTCATTTGGGACTTTTTTCTTATTGCTTTCTAAAGCTACTTTATAGTACAAAAATTTCTTAAAATTAGCAAAAAAAAAAAAAAGTGGTTAAAAGCTATCCCAAACAAAGCCAAAGTGACCAAGAAAATGTGTACTATCATGAAAAGTATTGCATTAGAGTTTAAAAACCTTGATCATTTTACGAAAATTTTAAACTTTAAAATATTTATTTGAATCTAGGCACAAGTTAATAATATGTGTTTTATCAATTTGGTGAGAAGATGAGATTATATAAAAAATAAACTTATATGTTTCAAGCTCTACTTATGAATGAGCTCCTTGATGTATACATCTCCAATATTTCTAAAGGTTTTTCATATAGCTTATTTATTTTTTAGCCAATAATAAGAAATATCACCATTATTTCTTCTTTGCATTGAGCTTCATAAAATGGGCATCAATAGTAAAATCTTAAATATTAGCAAGGCTATTTATTGATAAATAGTGCTAGAAAAAATTGTATAATAAACTAAATAATAAGCATTGGCATTTCTATAACCTAAAAAAAAAAATCAAAGGTAATTAATTCAGAACAATAGTTTTAAAGATTAAAAAAAAAAAAGTAAAAGCATATAGAACTATTACTATTTAGCAGGAAAAATATCTTTCAACAAAATAATAAAGAATATTGAACATATCAAGAATTTTTCATTAAAATAATAAGCTAGGTGATTTTATTATGTAGTGATGATTGCATGTCTCATAAGAATGAAATGAAGGGTCTTTTGTTGATCAAGTATGATGTGAATATTAGATTTAAGGTATTTCATTTGGGACATTTTTTTTACTGCTTTCTAAAGTAGTTTTTTAGTACAAAAATTTTTAATTCAAAAAATTTTTGTATTAAAGAGTTGCTTTAGAAATCAATAAAAAAAACTATCTTATTAGAGCAAAAAATAATCCTATATACATTGAGATTGAGATAAAGAGCACATCCTTAGTTGCTACAATACTCTAAAGCTTGTGCTAAATAAAACACCACACATATCCTCATTGCCAAGAAGGTCAAGTAGATTGTGACCCTTGACACATTCAAATTTATAAGCAAACAAATCTAATAAAGCAAACTATTCTATATAAAGATAGAAAAGAGAAGTAGCATTCTAAAAATTTAATAATTCATAAAGCAATAAGAATAATCTATCCAACTATTCAAGAGATTTGGAGGATCCCCACAGCCCACTACATTTTCATAGCCATCCTCCTAATTTTAGAAAGTAAATAAATTAATTAAATAATATTAACTTTATAATTTTGTATTATTTATATTTTTCTTTAACTAAATGTGAACCATTATATCAAATAAATTTTATATATAATTACTTTAGAATAAGTTAGAATATTATTTTAAACTAATTTAAATTTAATTACTATAATTATAGTTCAAAAATTAAGGCTCAATTTAATTAATTCAAACAAAACAATCTTAACTATAAAAGTAATTTATTTGAACTCAATTCATTAACATAATCTTATGAAAAAATATTATTTCTCAATAAAGAATAAGATAGAGAGTGTTATACCTATATTTTTTAATGAGAACAACTATAATTTTGAATGTATTTTTTTTTATAATTTTTTATTAAAATAGTATCTCAAGATCTATGATTACACAAAAGAAAAATATTATTTAAGAGTTATTTAATAGCTAGAATTAATTTGCGCCCCAATTAAAAAAAAAATTTGTCTCCGCCTTTGGAGGTGGGCCAATAGGGCGATACCAAT